GACCGATTTCTGGCCACTTAGGGTTGCAAGTGAAGGTTATGAATATATCAGGATAACCGGTCCACCGACATATGGCCATCGCGTCCTGATAGTTCTCAATCATATATCTCGTGCCACCCGTAAAGGACGAAGGCAGTATAATCCGTTTGCCTTGAGAACCAGGATCGGTGTCTCCTCGCAGCACAACATCTTTAAGACGACTATACAATTCGGTTCTGAGTTTCGTTTGGTTAAATCGGATATATCTTAGCCGAGCTCCTTCGACCATTGTATACGCATCCACAACGAACTGCTGATACAACCTCCGAGCGGAGAGGATGGAAGACAATTCATTGTCACGGTCGTGCATTCGATATTTGAAGAACTCCAGCGAACTGATGAATTTCCTCGACCTCTTTATAATCGGTTTTAGGACTGAAAATGGAATGTCCTCCCTGTAACCATCCTCGCCATATGGAAAAAGAATAGGATAATGGAGAGCCAAGTAGGAAGCGTTCAACTCGTTGATACGCTGCAAACGTCCACTCCGATTTTCCACTATAATATCACGACTGGCCATAGCATCATCGAAATCGCCAACAACCAACGCTGCAATTTCAGAAGTGGACGGTAAATTATAACGCCGACCATCTTTATTCCTTCTTCCAATAAGTCGCATCCTAACTTCGCGATGCTCGGGTTGGTTCAACCTCTCGCGCGCCATTCTAAACGACTTAACCAGAACATTGTAATGATCGAGCATCTCTTTCAAACCGAGCACTACCTCACCGTCAAGATTATTTCTTTCAACACCACTCCTGAAAACAGAAAAAAACATAATTGCAATTTGAATTATTAAATAAGATGTGGAAAATTAATATTACGATGTAAGTCATAAATTTTAATGACAAAATATAATATATATACCTCACAGAAGATAGTCTGTTTGATATTTCATTCTCTGTGTCATAGATGTACAATTGGGCAAATTTGGGAGGAGCACCATGGTCGGGTAACAAACTACCCATTAAATGGTAGTTTTGACCGTGCAAACAGAATACGGGCGGGCCGGAGCCGTTGTTGATGTTGTTATCAATCTTCCCTCCCATGGATGTAAAACAAAACATGTTGTTGTAGGACCAAATGTTTTCTTGAAAGTACTTGCTTCGGGGACTTGTGCCAAAAATCAGCTCACGCAGAAATGGCGGAGGAGTGTAAACAGGTGGAAGTTCGATGAATCCGTGGTTGCAACATGTAGAGTACTTTGGAACTGTGGGGTTAGATGGCTTTCCCAGTCGCTCGGCGTACCAAAATCTGGCACCACAGTGAAGGCAACAGTACGATGGATCGCCAATATCCAGTATTCTGAAAATTCATAATAATTAAGAATTTAACAAATAGATTATAAAATAATTATCTATATATCATACAAAGTATTGGCAATACAAATTTTTTTTTTTAAAATAAAAATGAGAAAATGATATTAAAATATTCGATAAACATAAGTAAATAATTACCGTTGTTGATGGATGAGTTGGACGAACCAACGGATGTAGATGAGCCTCGGGCATCAATGAGCCTTCGAGAAATATTTTGACTACGGACAAAAGCAGACAAAACATCCTCATATATGGGTGGAGGGGCTGAGTTCCTCGGACGTCCGCCTACATTCGTCCGGGGTGGCAAGTTTACTGACGAAACTGCAAAACAATAGATTGTTTATAAACAACCAAAATAAATATATAAATGTAAATGAGAAACTTTTTTTTTTTTAATTCACGAATAAATTAGATAATTTGATAAGCAAGTAGAAGTACCATTTGTGGGAGGTGGTAATTCGTGCCTTGGTCGACCGCCTACGTTGATCCGAGGTGGCAAATTTGACGAATGCACTGCGTGAAAAAAAATATTATATTAATAGAAATTATATCATTATTAATTTGATTAAATGATATATACTTTTTTTTTCAAAGTCATAAAACATAAATTAAAAATCGGATAATTAAATTAATTTACCATTTGTTAGGGGAGTTAATGCGAGCCTCGGACGACCGCCTACATTCTTTCGAGATGGCAAGTTTACCGATGAAACTGCAAAATTTTAAATTACAATTGAAAAAAAAAATTAATAAAATATTATAATATTAATGTCTAGAAGTAAAAATAAAATATTTTTTATATATAAAAAAATTTAAATAATAATTGATAGTTTATAAAATTACCATTGCAGACATTGTTGACTAGCGTTCTCGGGGGCACGTTTTCATGATTGTCCATTGTAAGATCGATCAAGTCGGCTAAACCGCTTGAAGAAGCAGTGCCGATGTGAGTTATTGTGGAACTATTTTGGGATGAAAGTTGAGAATGTCCGACTGGAACATCTAAAAAAATCATATTCAAATAAATCTATACAAATAATACGATTCTTTTTATAATGAGCTAAATATTAAATAATAATATAATAAATACAACAATAAAGAAAATACATACCAGTTTATCAAATAAGGTACTTACAATAATTAAATTAATAAATTTTAATTATGAGTTGCAACACATTTTTTAAAAGTTCTAGACACAACATATAAATTATTTTCTGAATCAGTACAAATTGACAAACATATTTATTTTTTGAACTATACATAAATTAGGTCAATTTTGTATCACATATTTTTTTTTAAATATATATTGTACATTTTTTTAAGTATTGTAATTATAAAATATTAGCATTCATTTTCAAATAACAAACTAATTGAGTTATTTATACATTTATACATAATCATTATCGGGCCAATATTATTGTAGGCTCGCATTACATCGAATTGGGCCTGTATTTATACATAATGTGATTGGGCCAGCCTTTGTGAGAAACGAATTTAATCAGCATTACTGTAAGGGCAAATATGGAATTTCACGCGCAATGCTGAACAGATTAAGGACGCGTGTCCTAGACGGGTGGCAACACCATTTAAATAGCCGAAACCCTAACACCTGCTGCCATTTCGCCATTTCTATCGCCTCCTTATCTTCTGTCTCTGCCGTTTCTCTCTCTCTCTCTATCTCATTTATTCTCTCTACATTCATGTTTGGTTATTTTTCGCCGATGATTTTGCCAAATCTGATGTTTCTCCGGCGATTCTTTTCTGATTTTGAAATCTGATACCGAAAAACACCTAAGATTTCATTTTTTTCGAATGAACAGAGAGACGAAAAAAATGAAATCGACCGATTTTGAAAATCCGATATACTAATTCATTGTATATCGGTACAAATCGGTCGATTACATGATATTGTTTGCAGATCTACTGATTTTTTGTCAATTTTTTATTGTTTTAAACATTTTTGTATTAAAATCGGGCTGGGATAACAGATCTATAGACATATGTAGTGTTTTTGGGTTGATTCCGTCATAGATCTGGATAATATACAAAAATCCGATTTTTTTACAATTTTTTACACATTTTTTTTTGTATTTAAATCGTAATTAGTTACCAGATATGTAAAAATCTTTAGTTTTTGCCATTTTTTTATTGTTTTAACCCTATTGTTCGCAGATCTACAGAATTTTTGTCAATTTTGTTTGGTTTTAAACATTTATGTATTAAAATCGGGCAAACATAACCGATCTATAGAGATATGAGGTGTTTGGGCTAGATCACGTGATAGATCCGGATGACATACAAATCTCCGATTTTTTTTTAAATTTTTTGAACTTTTTCTCGTATTCAAATCGTTATTAGATAACATATCTGTAAATATCTTTATTTTTTTGTGTTTATTTAGTTTTTAATCTTTATAATATTATATTATTCCCGTTAGGGTTAGCTTCGATATGTAGTTTTTCGGTGTTCATTTAATTTTTATATTATTAAATACACGTTAGTGTTAGATTGGATCAACAGCTTTTGTTTTTTTATTTAATTTTAATTTTTAATTTTCAGTTTTTATAATAGATCTGTTGATCTATTCAGTTTTATGTTTTTTTAATCGAATAAGCCTTTTTTTTTCAGTTTCATGTTTAAATTTCTTTAAATATTTGACCTTGTGTTCCTCATTTTCGAACCGCAAACAGAAATGTAAGGTAATATATTAATTCTTCACATTCTTGTGTTTGAAAGTATAATGAATGTAATGACAAATTGTTTACGGATCAAAAAGATGTTCTAATAGTTGTTCTACTCTTTTGCAGGTATAGTCAATAGAATAAGAGCCGACCACATAGTAAACAGAAAAGATAAGTTTCATTTTAGCATATCCTTCTAGATTTTTTTATATCACTGGCCAAACTATGATATTTTCTAACATTTTTTATTTTGTTCTTGCATATAGACAACAGTTGGGATAAGTAATGTTCGCTATAAAACGGTAGAATGTAACATATGCACAAATAAGTATCCTGTCCCATATCCTTTTTCAAGATTGTTCATTTTTCTAATGATATATGATATAATCTAACTTCTGTAATTGTTTTTTTGCAGAAAAAAGCATATATTATAACAAAAAAGTTACTTGTAATGGACTGTACATTGTCGAAACAAAGCACATATGTATTTGCAATACACGGTAAAAGCAAAAAAAGGTAACACTTCCGGTCAAATTTCATATTAAACATAGGACACAAATGACATTGTGTACCATATGGTGGAGAAACATCTTCCTTTTGACGTTTGTTTCCAATTAAGTTGTAGCCCGTCAACCTCTTCATGCTGTTGTGTTTTGGGTTTAAAAAAACTGAATTTGGTGGTAAAATGGCATAAAACAGATTGATATAAGTTAAAAAAAAACTGAAATCAGAGCCAGAGGCATAAAATAGAATGATTGGACTAAAGTGAAGGACAATAGGTGTATGTTTAGGGAAACTAAGAATGAATAAGTGATTAAGGGGTTTATATAGAAAAATTTAGTAAATTTACAGTTAATGTAATAAATACTGATTGATATTAAATATTTTTTCCTAATGATCAAATTCAAAACCGGAATAAAATGAGTTTTAGTTAAATGAGTCAACAAATGATCAGTTTTATAGCATGATTTATGCCAAATTGATTTTGTGTTATTAATGTCATTAGTCATTTGCTATTTTGCTATTTATATAGATTTAATGAATTTAATGAAAAATCAATTTAATGCATTTAAGTATTTTGACTTCAATTTATGTAATTGATTGATTTTGTGTTAATATTCCATTAGTTATTTGATATTGTGCTAATTCTGTACATTTAATGACTTGAATGAAAAAAAATGTTTAATGTATTTACAGATTTTGAATGTCATATTGTTTTGGGTTCAATGCATTTACATGTTTTCGGTTTAACTCTTTGATTTTGTTATATTGTTGAATTTTTGAATGTTATATGAACAGTTTTGTTCTTATGACCAAAATTGAGTATGTTGATACTGTTGTCACATGATTGAATGATTTTTAGTATGTTAAAACTGAGTATGATAAAATCAAAGAGTTATATGTGATTCAATGATTAAGTTTAGAGATTTTACTTGAATTATTGAATTTGTTATATTCTAAAACTGAGTATGAGTATTTTTCTGAAATAAATTCTAGGTTTTTCTCTGGACTGAGTATTTTTTTTTTGTGGACTGATTTTTTTTTTATGCAATTGCTATATGTTTTTGTTTGGACTTCTTTGTTATATAACTGCTGCTTGTGTTTGGCTTTGTACCTTTTTTTTGCTTATGTTTATCCTTTTCATCCTGTTTTTCTCTTTTCCTCCTGAAGTACAACTTGTTAGTTTTTGTGCTTGCCAAGAATTTGTCTTTCGATATGCTGCATATCAGCTTCATTTTCTTCTCGTATGATTGAATGTTTCTGAATTGTTGGTGAAATAACTTATATGCTTTTCAATTGGTTCATTGCTGATTGGTTTTTCTTGGGTATGCATGATTGAAATGATTCAAAAGCCAGGTACTTGATTGAAATTAATTTATTACTGCTGATTGGTTTTTCTTAGGTTCATTGGTTCATTGCTGATTGGTATTTCTTGGGTATGCATGATTGAAATGATTCAAAACCCAAGTATTATGTTTTTGATGATAATTTTATTCACTGCTGATTTGTTTTTTTCTTGGTAATTCATGATCGTAATGATTCAAAAGCCCATTATTAAAACTGAATTTTTATTCATCCTCAAAGGTAGTCAACAATTCAGAATTACCAACATATTTCATAATCAATAAATAGCCAACATATTCATCCTTAGAATCAGCTTTTAAATTTCTTCCATCTTTATTTTCTTCTTTCCTTTGTTGTCTTCATCACAGCTTGAACCTTCCTCAGACACCTTTCTCTTTGGTTCTCTATTAGATGTATCATTCACTGGTTCAACCCTTGGCTTTTGTGAAATGTCTATTTCACCTTGCTCATAATCACATTCCTGTTGAATAAGTAAAATTTAATAATTACAGATACATAGATAAAATAATATCTATTAATCTTAGAACATAATTTAAATAAATTTCCATATACCTGTGGAGCATTTTCTATAACACCAAATCTTTTCACTAATATTGGATCAGCCGTAATTCTAGAAACAATGAATGCTCCATTGTACGGCCTTAATTGATCCTTTTTCTTTCCAACTTTGAACAAAAGGGCTTTGTCCATCAAAGCCGACAGTTCAGGCGGCAAATCAGACCCATCTTCATGCTGAAATAATATCAAATATTGAATATTAAATAAATTAATATTAATATTAATTTATTTCTAGTATATTATTATTCAAACCTTCAACATATTTTGAACAACTTCTTCACATGTTTTTCCAATTAGTTCATTTGCTACTTTGTCCCAGCAAAGAACTTGCATTATTCCCGTGTCGTCAATAATCAACATGTGCAATTTGTACCTGAAATTTTGAAAATTTATTAAAAAAATTATAGTATAACAATATTTAATAATATACTCAAATAATCTATGAATACCGAGTGTTAGCAAATGGTACTTCCTCTTTGCAATGGAAGCACCAAAATTTCTCCCCTTGCGGCTCGACCTTCCTAACGCAGGTCGGGCATGCATTAAAATACCACCTTAGATCAACATCAAGGATCGTCCCATTGATCCAAAACATATGCGGCTGAAAAAAATAAAATTAGAACAAATAACAAAGGAAAAAAGTATTAATGTGTATTTAATAAAAATCAATCGTTTGAAGACAATTGCCTCATTCAAATCATGAAATGCTTCAATAGTTCCAATAGGGGCCGATCCCGATTGCAAGTCATCGCATACGCTCGACATGAAAGATCTAACATATTGGTTAGGTACTTCATTTGACCGTTTGTGGCAGTTGTACCTAAGAAAAATAATTTATGAGATAAACTACATATATTTGTACTAAACAATCTGTCTTTAACAAATTTTTGAACATTCACCTCTCTTTGAACTTAATAATTTCTGGTACATCAAATTTAGCAATCATTTTGGTTGCATCGTATGCATTGGCAATTCTCACAGACCCTACAAAATTATTCAATAATATTAGATATAAAAATGAAATAATAAATTTTAACGTATTTAAAAATGAAATAAATTTTAACGTATTTAAATTTATTTAAAAAATTATACCGTCATGCATGGATTTCGCTCGGCACATTTGAAGTATTATAACTTTTTCCTCTCCTGCAATGGAGTTCTTCATTGCCTCAAGTAGAACATCCACATAGTCCTCCCATAATGTGCAAAGTAATTGGCAACCGCTAACATAATAAAAAAATAGAAATATTACATAATGAATTTATAACATTTAGACAGTGAAGATTAATAATATTCAGTAATTTACACTTACCGAACATCTTCGAGGAGAATATCAATAAATTTCTTTTCTACCCCTCTAGACATAGCCTTTTGTACGCTTTGAAAGAAAACAACTCGACCAATGATATCTAGAATCAAAATAGAAGTACAATTAGAAATAGTTTTGTTTAAGAAAACTCTAAATAAAAAATTAAAAACTGTATTATTGTTACCAATTAGCCGTGAGGAGTCGATTAGAGATGGATCTGCCAGATCTCCGAAGTCCTTGAAATTGAACATGAACTTTGGGTAGTCTTCATCATAAATCTCCTTTATATCAGTTTCCTCATTAAACAAAAGCTGCTCAGTTTTTGTGGTAGTTTTGAAAATGTTGTGGTCGGTTTCCAATATGAAATTCCTTATCCCAAATGTATTCCCTTCACCATTGATAAACGGGCTGAAATTTTCAACTAAGATGTCGGGTGCAGAGGCATGGATTCGCTCGCCCTGAAAAATAGATTTAAAAATCATGTATTAGTGTAAAAAAAAATAAGTAAAATATAGAATGTCAAATAATTGATTAATGACTAAAAAACACAATTTCTACCTTGATATCATGAAACACAAATTCCAAGCTTGACTCTCTTCTTTTGGGATAAAACCTAACCAATCTCAAAATCGCTGTTTTGTTTTTGTTCTTGGCAAGGTATGTGAGATTATCAAAGTAGGAAGACATTTTGCAAGATGAATTTTCTTTGAATAAAATTTGAGGTAGATAGTTGTTTTGTGAAAGTGATTAGAATTTGAAAAGTATTTCAGTATTTATAGGGCACCAAAACTTGTCAATATCCTTAATTTCAGCAGAGAAATAAATGTGATAGTCAAAATAATTTATTTGCATCAAATAAATGATTAATTTGGTTATAAATATTATTTTATTAAAAAATTCCATGAGATACAAAAACTTGTGTATATCCATAATTTATGCTGAAAATTACTGTAGCTTGGTCAACTTTATGTAATGTCATCAAATTCATAATTAATTTATACCCGAGAATCTGCCTTTTCTTATTATTGTATTTTTTGTTCTTTTATTTTTCAAATTTTCCTCCTGATTTTAATTCATTGCTTTAATTTCAGAATTATATTTTACATATATTGCATGACTTTTTGTAATATCATTAATGTTTTTTTATTTTTCTATATTGCAGGAATTATAAACAATTATGGAGCTGGAATATTCTATTTTTAATTTTATTTACTGCATTTTAGATCAGAAATGATATATGTAATTTATTTTGTGTATTTTAAATCATTTATGTAATTCTTTTTTTTTCGTAAAAATTATAATTAAATTCACATAATGTGGCCCAGTCAAACAATATGAAATCAGATTTTAAAAATAATATCTCATTTGATTTTGGAAATAATAAGAGTAGGATTTCTATCATTAACCTAATTAATCATTAACATAATTAATGTAGGAGAATTAATAGAAAAGTAACCGAAAATGGAGGGAAAAGAGGTTAGTGACAGCTAGGTAAAATTAAATAGGTTTTATTTATTAGGTTTTATTTAATGATTAGCTAGCAATTATATATATATAGATTGGAATTCGGCGCAAAAGAAGGTAACATAGAAATTAGAGATGGTCGGAGTAAGTAGGTCGGTCCAGATGGCCTCGAAGAGGTGGTTAGGCTGGTCACCCAACCGCACATCCCCCTAGTCGAGGTCGTAGAGAAAGCACTATAAGATGTAAGTCTCCACCTCATAACGTCCAAACCGCCCTAAGATGGGAATCTGTTGGATAAGCATACCCTGAGGGTTTGAGTGTGTTTTTACTGCCTTTAACTAATATTTCCTTATATATGTTTTTTTTTGTTCTAAGGCTAGTTTTTTTTTCTTTTCTTTGAAAAGAGGATCAATAGTGGTTTCTCACTTATCCTGTTGATTGATTCGAACTCGAGACCTATCGGTCATGAAGTGAAGGGTGCTACTAACTAAAGTACCGCTTTTTCTCTGTACGGAGGCTATCTAACCCTTGGTCGACGTTGTTTTATTTTATTAAGATTTTTCTATCGTTCTAAAACAAATAAGATTAGTTTGTTTAATTAAATGGATGTAAATAAAGTTACTATTAGGGTCTTAAAAGATAAATAATATTTTATTGACAAGTTGAACATTTGTTGGGGATGACATAATATGATACTATGGCCAACAAAGCAAAGAAGTACAAATAATTTTATCGCGGACAAAGTACTGTAAGGGTGGACAGCTACTACAGCCTAGGTAATAGGCTTATAAGTAGTCTTATTTTTGTCCTACATATAATACATATGCAACCAACCAGGTTGATGCTACAACAGCTAATTATAATCAAATCATTTCCCCTCTCTCTCTCTCTAAAGCAAGAGTGAATAATACATCAGCATGACACTTTGTTTGGTACCATTTTATGTAATCTTTAAAGACCGCGAGTCAGAAAATGAATGAGAGATTACATCAGCATGACACTTTGTTTGGTACGAAATTTATCTCTTACTTTAATTGCTGATTCCAATCTCTTTTCGTCTCTCTCTATCGCTATTTATAGAGTGCCCCGTGCACGGCCGTGAACGAATAATACATTGAGGCGAACACAAGCAATAGCAGACATGTCCGTGTCCTCCAACAGGCGGTGGTGCCCGACCTCCGAGCAGGTTATGATACTCGAGGAGCTTTTCCGGCGGGGACTGAGGACCCCCACGGCAGCGCAGATACAGAGGATCACAGCCCACCTCTCGGTCTACGGCCGTATTCAGGGAAAGAACGTCTTCTACTGGTTCCAGAACCACAAGGCCCGTGACCGCCAAAAGCTGCGCAAGAGGCTCGCCGCTAACCCACACCTCTACGCATGCGCCGTACCTACACAATATCCCACCTTCTCCACCTGCTACTATTACTACTACTTCCAATCTCCACAATCATTATACCTCCCACCTTCTCCGCCTCAGGTAATATAATGGACATCATGTGTAAATTGTGATCATAATAAAATAGAGCCATCTATAACATGCATTCATTTTTTTTTTTATTTTTTTAAAATGAAATCTCGGGTATCCGTTCACCAATTTTGTAATATGCGTAAGGCAAACATTCAATTTTGGTACGTTTATTTGTCTAAAGTACTTTTCTGTTACACTAATTTCCCTTCATCAATAATAGTATGTTATGTTGCAATTTGTATCACTATTGGGTCTTTATCGCGAAAATAGTTCATTACTTTTTGAAATTAATGTCTTAATAAAATTGATATAAATTGCAACATAATGTACTGTTTTTTTTTATGAATGGTACCAAAAAAGACTTTTGACAAATAAACGGACCAAAATTATTTTTTTTTCTTTATATAATTAGATCAGCGTGCACTTTGCCTCTTTGTTAAATTATACACCCATCTTAATTGAATGGATGGATATTTTGTACCTCAGACAGACAATAAATTGATTTGTACTTAGTGCCCTGTTTGGTAAACAAAAAATGAAATCACAAAACAAAAACAAAGTTCCTCAAAAGCTCTTGTCTTGTAAATAGATATACTGTGTATGTGTGTTGTATTGTCTTGTAAATAGATATACTGTGTAGGTGTTAAATTAGTTAACGGTCCGGTTTACCTACACCTGCACCATTTTAAACAATCCCTTTTCACTCACTTTGACCAATACAAAAATCTTTCAGAATTATAATTTTTATTTTTATTTTTCTGAGTTTTACAATTGCATATATTTAGTAAAAATAAGTGCGTGTCGTAGGGTGAGCAAGAGGCCCCCGGTGGGTTGGCGATGCAGAGTAACAAGACAGATCATCTTCATAAAGATTCGACGCTCGGATCGTGCGGTCAGGATTTCAGCACGATGACGGAGGTGGGGCCCAGCACGGCGTGGTGCACCACGGGGAGCGAGCCCCTCCAAACCTTACAACTCTTTCCCCTCCGATCCCCCGCGGCCTCGGACAATCCAAACTCCACGCCTAGAAAGGCATGATGAACCCACCAGTTATTTGGATGAACCACACCCGACTCACTTTCCTTCTCTATCTCTATTCTCTAGGCTGAATTTTCTGCTCTGTCTAAAACCTAAGCTCTACAAATATAATATATTATAGATATATAAAATAAAACTACTAGTACTTATTTTGTCTTAGTTTTTTGTGTTGTGTTTTTTTATTTTTGCTTTTATGTTACGTCTCAGCTATATAGGCTGCAGGCCTCGGAATATGCTGAATTGTCCAATAGTTCGAGCATTGTGTACTTGCTCTTTACTGCAGCCTACACTTCAAACCTTATGTCTTATTTTTCTCTCCACAGTGTACACTTATATTCCCCCACTGCATTAATAAAAATATGTTTCAAGTCTACGAGAGTTTTATCTTCCTCGAAGTTCAATTAAAACATATATATATATATATATCAAATTTTTTTTTTTTTTTTTGCCCAAATATATAAAATTTATATTTTTTATCATCTTTAAATAATAATATAAAAAAAAAAGACAAACGTTGGGTAGAATGACTTTATTAAAACTAGTGCGGTATTCGTGCGACACACGAGCTAATTTTATTAAGATAAACATTTATATTTGAATGATTGGAAGAACATAAAATGCATGTATAAGAATATAACAAAATACAACTTATATATTATTAAAAAAAAAATAATACACAAACCAATCTACCTCCGTGTAAACCGTATCTAAGAAAATAAACACTTGACACATATGTACTACGATATGATTTATAAATAAATTAAATTACTTAGGAGGATATATATGATATGACTTATATTGGTTTTGTGAAGATTGCATAGTCAAATATAACGGAGATTATAAAACGTCTTTCTTGATAATTTATAAATCACTCTTTTTACATTGCTGTGGAATACAAGCTAAATGACTCATCTATATCCACCTGGGGTATTTTTGTCTACATCAGCACCAACTGTCAAGTTAGAATGACTCAATGGTCAGCTCTGCAATCTGCTAAATCCTCCTGGGGGAACTCTTGGTATATACTGGGAGACTGGAATGACATCTTCTTCAGAAATGATAAACAAGGAGGCATTCCTAGATCTTTGGCTAGCTTAGTTGGGTTCAACTCTTTTATTAACAATATGGAGATGGATGAAATCTTGATGATTGGGTATAAATTTACTTGGTGCAACAATAGATTCTCTGAAGGTCTAGTTGAAGAGAAACTGGACAGAGGCTTTGCATCAGGGGACTGGCTGCACTCTCACCCCCAAGCACACATCTCTACTATTGCCAAGTCATCCTCTGACCACTCTATGTTAATTCTTAACTCTGGGGAAGATATGAACAGAAAGAAATGCAGATTTCATTTTGATAAGAGATGGCTGTCTAAAGAAGGTATCAAGGAGGTTATCCAAACTGCTTGGAGCACTCAACACTCATGAACTCCTTTCTTCATCCTTAAGGAAAAGGTCAAAGCTACCAGACAGGCCTTACTGAAATGGAGTGCAAATTTCAAAACTCAAAATCAGTCAACCATTGATAATTTAAATAAGAAGCTTGCTTCTCTGCAACAAGATGGCAGAATTTCCAACTAGGAAGAATGGATAACAACAAAAAAAGCCCTGGAATCAGCTCACACTTATGAAGAATCTCATTGGCAGCAGAAAGCAAAGATACAATGGTTGAAAGAGGGAGACAGCAACTCTAAGTTCTTCCACTCTTACACGATGATGAGAAGAAGGAAAAATGCCATATCCAGACTTTTAACTCCCCAGAACATGGTGTGTGATTCTCAGAGTGCTATTCAAAGGCATGTTGCTGATTTCTACTCGGATCTTTTTACCTCAGAAGGCTCTTGGGGAGGAGACTCAATTCTTTCTCTCATTCCTCCTTCTATTACATCTGATATGAATCTGCTGCTTCTGCAACAAGTCTCTGAGGATGACATAAAATATGCCCTCTTCAGTCTTCAATCTGAAAAATCACCAGGAGAGGACGGTATGACTGCTCTTTTTTACCAATCTTTTTGGGATATTATCAAAGTAGACATGGTGGTTGCTATTTCCAGTTTCTTTAATAACAGAGGCCTTCTTTTAAAATACTGAAATCACACCATTGTTTCCCTCATCCCCAAATGTAATAACTCGGATTATTTGGCCCAATATAGACCTATAAGCCTTTGCACCGTGGTCTACAAGATCCTATCAAAAATCATTGCTCTTAGGCTTCAAAAATGTCTGGAGTCCTGTATCAGTGATTCACAATTTGCATTCATCAAGGGTAGGCAATTAATGGACAATGTAATTATTGGGCATGAGGCATTCCATCATCTGAATAGGCTGAACTCTGTTAAGAACTGTTTTATGGCCATTAAACTTGATTTAATTAAATCTTTTGACAGAGTGGAATGGGTTTGTATCAAAAAGATTATGCTGAAGATGGGATTTCATGCTGACTTTGTGGACTTGATTATGATCTGCATATCTTCTTCTTCTTTTTCCTTTAAAGTGAATGGTTCTGTGGCTGGCTATGTTCTTCCTTCCAGAGGTATAAGACAAGGGGATCCATTATCCCCTTATCTTTTTATTATTGTAGCTGAAGCTCTCTCTGCTCTCATTTCTCAAGCTGAAAGATCAGGCTCTCTCACTGGGTTAAAACTGTCTTTGAATGGACCTGCTGTATCTCATCTCTTATTTGCAGATGACTCACTTGTCTTTTGCAAGGCTTCTGTGGATTAAGTTAACTCTGTTTTGGATATTCTGGAAAGGTATAGACTGTTTACTGGTCAGAAAGTCAATTGGAGCAAGTCTTCTATCTTTTTCAGTAGGAAAACTCCAGTGCATCTTAAGTCTCTCATAAGTTCTTCTCTGCCAGGATCACTTGTCATAGATCTACCAGATACCTAGGTCTTCCCCTAGGAATTGGTAGATCAAAACTTGATACTTTTCAGTACATTGTAGACTCTGTTCAAAGCAAAATTCAGAACTGGAAATCCAAACTCCTAAGCCAAGCAAGAAAGGCTATTCTTATCAAGGCTGTCCTTCAAGCCCTTCCTATTTTCTCAATGTCTTGTTTTTTTCTCCCAAAATCTCTTTGTGCCAATATTATTAAACTGTGTTCTCAGTTTTGGTGGAGCTCTGATGAAGAATAGTCTAAGGGAATTCACTAGAAAGCTTGGAAATATCTCTCTCTTCCCAAAGACAAAGGTGGGCTAGGTTTCCTTGATTTGAATCTTTTCAACACAGCCCTTATCTGTAAACAGTTGTGGAGAGTGTACACTCAGCCTCATCTTCTTGTCAGTCAAATCTTAAAAAGCAAATACTTTCCAAACTGCTCCATTTTTTAGGCTGCAAAAACCAACAGCTGTTCTTGGCTTTGGTCTAACTGGGTTGAGGTGCTGCCTACTTTTGCAAAAGGTTATGCTGTTGAAATTAGGAATGGGGCTACTACAAGAATTGCAGATGTGAACTGGGTCCCTAATTTATTGCATCACAAACCTTCTCTGCTGTACCTTGCCAAGGATCACCTCATCTGGGTCAAGGATTTATTATTGGATTCTGGTAGGGGCTGGAACTCTTGGTTGATTAACCAAGTGTTTGGTGCCCTTGACAGTCAAGCTATTTTGGCCATAAACACCCTGAAGCATGACAAAGAGGATAGGCAGTACTGGCTTTTTAACAAGAAAGGGCACTTCACTGTAGCTAGTACTTACTCCTTTCTATCTAATCAAAAGCTGCTATCCATGGATTTACCTGGCCCCAGTTCCTCTTCAGGCCCTTCTCAATCTTGGATCAGGCAGAGGCTGTGGAAGCTCAAAGTGGTAAGCAAAGTTAAATTCTTTATCTGGAAGTGCATTGTGGGAGCTCTCCCTGTCAAAACTAATTTAGTTAAGAAAGGCATGAAGTTATATGCAACCTGCAGCATCTGTGGTGAAGACTTGGAGTCTGTGGTTCATGTCCTGTTTACTTGTTCAAGGGCTGCAAACTTATGGAAGCAATCTCAGGTAACTTGGAGCAGTATACCAAATCAAAACTTATCTTTCAGCGGTTGGTGGAACTACATTTGCTCTTTAGACTCAACAGAGACATCGGAGGCAAGGATCCAACTCACAACGTATATCCTATGGTGGCTCTGGAAAACTCGCAACCTCATTATCTTTCAAGACAATCTTCTCCCCATTCCAGTTACTCTTAAAGCTGCGCATTTAGATTGGTCTTCTTTTGTGAACTTGTAGTTGTTTTTATCTTCTGTTTTTCTTTTTCTTGTTGTTTTTGCTCAAGGCCCTTGGGCAGTGGAGTCTTTTTATTTGTTCTTGTTTTTGTCTCTTTTCTGAGGTTCTAGGCCGCTTCTTGCGTGTCCTTTCAGTTTTTTCGTTTCGGAGTTGGGTTGTAATATTCGAACTTGGTTCGCTTTGAGTTATATATTATCTTTATCGTTTCGAAAAAAAGAAAAACTTTATTACTTTAAAATTATAAATTAGTTAGTTTAAGGAATGAAAAAATTGTGTTCGTGTATGCAATCAATTTCAAATGTGTATACTATAGGATTAAACGAAACCCTAATTTTTAAGATGTTTCAATCCGACATCATTTTGAATTTCAAATTAATATTATCCGACTCTGTTTTATGTTTTAAAAAAAATCGAACTAAAGAAATTAGTAGCCAAATGATATGAGATTTTCAAATTTTAACTTTCAACATGAAATTGGGAGCGATTTCTTTGCAATCCGATTTTTGTTTTTTAATAAACATGATCTGTTGCAATTAGGTAAAAATACATGTTATAGTATTTTGCCTAATTCAAAATTCCCGATTTTATGGTAAACAATTTATGTTTAATAAAAAATGAGAGACTTTTGACTTTTATAAAATTGTCGTGCTAAATTTTACCTAAATTAACCCAATTTCTATGCAATTTGATTTTTTTAATAAATAACTGATATGTTGCAATTAGGAAAAGATATATATGTGATAATATTTTTCCTAATTCGAAATTCATGGTAATCAGTTTTTTT